AGGTGCAACATTACTAGAACTCTTTTACTCTGTTTGCATTCAGGATACACCCAGCCCATTTTAAAGTGCTGGTGCTGCTTCCTACAGAATCCTACATAGCTTTAAACCTGGATTTCTGACCCAGTAACAAGCACATGGCAGCTGGGGAAGGCATCTGGATGGCCCTGGCTGTACAAATTTATCTATCCATCAATAGCAGATTTTTTTAAAAAATCCAATTTCTGTGAGAAAGGCCCCCTCCTCTTGGATTTTTAGAAAAGTTTAAAAAAGAGCCTTGGTAGTACAGTGGTCTAAGGCACCCTGTTATTAAGCTGGTTATTAAGACCAGATGCCTGCAATTACTGCAGGTTCGAATCTTGCCAAGGCTCAAGGTTGACTCAGCCTTCCATCCTTTCTAAGGTAGGTAAATTGAGGACCCAGATTGTTTGGGAGCAATAAGCTGACTTTGTATAAATATACAAAAGAATGAAGGCTATTGCTTAGCGCTTTGTAAGCCGCCCTGAGTCTCCGGAGAAGGGCGGCATATAAATCAAATTAAAAAAAAAAAAAAGTCCAAAGACCCTGGCATTCCCCAAAACATGAGTAACTCACTAACATTTGATTTTAAATGTTTCCAGAATCATCGGGATGTTCATATTTCAGTAATAATTTAATGCATTCATAATATTTTAATTTTGGAAACCGTCCTGAAAAGCCGAGGGTGGAAGGATATAAATCTAAATAAATAAACTAAAAAGTGCCTTGTAAAAAGGGCGGTTAGTGCGTTGGGCTTGATTAGTGCTAATCTGAAAATATACTGTTAAAACAAACTGCAAGCCTTTGACTGCGACGTGATCATTTTCATAAATAAATCACTCTATTTACGTTCATCTGTTTCCCGGTTTTAATTGTTAATATGTTTGAACTAGGGGTGAAATCTACTTACCCTCCTTACCGGTTTGGAAGTGCATGCGCCGTGCGTGCTTCACATCCACGCGCAGACCTTCTGCGCAGGCGCAGAACGTAAAAAACACATTACTTCCTGGTTAAAACCAGGAAGTAACGACACTGGGGCGGGTAAGCGGAGCTTTGCTCCGACATTGCTACCGGATCACCGAACCACCTGCCACAATCGCTACCGGATCGTCCAATCCGGTCCGAACCGGGAGCATTTCACCCCTGGTTTGAACAGCACCCGGAGTCCCATTTTGCGAGACAGGCGGTGATATAAACCTAATAAATAAATGAGATTGTCAGATTTATACTTTGGAAAAAGATCCATAGTTGATTTTTTTTTTAAAAAAAATACTACCTTTTTTTTTTTTTTTTAATTTGATTTATATGCCGCCCTTCTCCGGAGACTGAGGGCGGCTTACAATGCGTTAAGCAATAGCCTTCATTCTTTTGTATATTTTATATACAAGGTCAGCTTATTGCCCCCACAAACTGGGTCCTCATTTAACCTACCTTAGAAAGGATGGAAGGCTGAGTCAACCTTGAGCCTGGTAAGATTCAAACCTGCAGAAATTGCAGGCAGCAATTCACCTTCTTTCTTAGGTGAAAGAAATAGGATAGGCAAGCTGATTTTGGTGTCTGATATCTGGACACAATGGAATATCTGGGCAATATTGTCTCCTAAGGGTTAACTGGCTTGAGTCAAACACAAAAGGAAGATCAGCCAGAGTTTTGCTTTCTGTTTTTTGGAGGGGGTGAGTGGGGGTTGGAGTTTGCCAAAAGTCCCCCGTTGTTTAATTTCCTCCTGGAAGCAGCCCAAGTGTGGGGCTCCCCCCCCTCCCTTTTTCTTTTCTTTCCACAGTGACCATTGCAGAGGCTGAGCGGCTGGGGTCAAAGCCTCCTCTATTGATCAGTATCCCTGCAGTCTCCAGTTCCAGCATCTGCTTCATTGGCTTCTTTCAGTGCCTGCTTCAGTACATTAGAATAGAAATCCATAACCAGAGCTGTGCTCATCCGAGCAGGGGAAGAAACTAAATTAAATGGTATAAAACAATCTTGGATCAGGAGTTTGCGCCAATTCATCTTGATCTGAGATGTCACACCGGGGCTCTGTGTCTGAGCACCTGGGCTAGGAGGCAGCCACAGTGAAAATAGATGGAGCTGTGATCATTCATTTGTCAGCTAAGGAGCTTGGCAGCAGTTAGCAATTCCCTTCTGCAGAGGTCAGCTGACAGAACAATCACTGCAACTGCAGAATGGAGCTTTCCTTTGAACTATTGTTATGGAGCGTGCTTCTTGGGGTGGGTGGAGGGGGTGCGTGAGGGAGGGGAGAGGGAAGCAGACTTTTCTTCCAGAGAGACAATTAATGTAGGCAAAGCCTTCCTCCCTCCCACCCATCCACCCACCCCCCTTGCAGTATAGGTTGCATTCTGCTGTGGAGATCATATATACAAATGGATGATGATTAAAATGGTTATGTAACACTTAGCGTAGATCCCGTCTTCATTCTTCTCTGGTAGAAGGTAACTATTGATTTTTCTTAGCACTTTCCTCCTTAAAAGATCACCCTCCCATCCGTTTCTCCGAGTATAATGCACTCACACTACCAGTGCTAGAAACTAAACTAGGAACCAGGATTTTTTTCCCCTATAAACCAACATTTGAATGTTAGTCTTTTCAAGGGAAACCGAAAGGGGGAGGGGGAGTTGCCATAGCTTGATAATGCCACAGCAGATGTTTTTCCTGTTAATTCACTTTTTTTTTTAATCTTCTGCTGTTGGCGGTTCTTTCAAGGAAGCAAGGGCCGTTTTCTGACTTCCTTCAGATTTGACATCACAATGCAGTAGGAAGAAGTGAGGGTTGTTTATATATAGAAGTGAGGGCTGTTTATATATCAAATTTATATTTTGCTGATGAAGAAATAAAGGGAGACTAGTATAGATCTACTTCAAGCTATTTAGCTCTCATCAGCTAGCCATACCCTTACTCGGATTCGAACTTGGGCTTCCTGCATGTTAGGCAGTTGAATTAACCTCTGAGCCACAAGTTCTCCTCCCTTCATCAGTTTGAGCCAGGGAAAGATTAAGTGTTTTTCTAAGTATTTTTCTGCCTAACATGCAGGAAGCCCAAGTTTGAATCCGAGTAAGGATATGGCTAGCTGATGAGAGCTAAATAGCTTGAAGTAGATCTATACTAGTCTCCCTTTATTTCTTTATCAGCAAAATATAAATTTAGTATAAAATGGTTTGTCGTGAATGCGACTGCTTGAAGGCTCCTGGATTGGAGCTGAAAGGTAAAAGGGAGCAGAATGCCCCCTCCCACATGTTGGGTAGACCAGGTGTCTCGATAAACACACACACACACACACACACACACACACACACACACACTATGCTAAAAATAGATTCTGGGCAAATGAATGGAAATATAAGTTTCTCTTCAATACAGTTTTCAAGTTAAATTTTAAACCAGGGTCTCTGTAGCCAACACAATACACCACGACCAGCTCATTTCCATGGAAGCAAAGAACTGACACAGTTATTCTGCTACAAGAAGCATGGGCTATTTCAAACCTGGGGCATGTGCAACTTTCGAACCTCTTTTATACACCCTAACCCCTCTGACCATAAATTCTGAAAATCAGAAGCATCCTTTCCTTCCAATTTTAGGTAGAGAAATCACAAATGTTGGAAATTAGGCTTAGCATAGTTTTTTTTTTCCTTAAAAAAAGGGAAAGCAAAGGGGTTATAGAATCCTTCGTGGGGTCATTAGCTATTTTTAGAATTAGAATTCTTTATTGGCCAACTATACAACAATAGTAATAGAGTCATTTTAACATAGTCATTTTTAAAAGTACACTCATCATAAAACATTAGATACAACACTATCCACTGCAGCGGTGTTGTGGCCCGTCAGCAGCCTGTGCAGATTGTAGCTGATTCTGACAATGAGGAGCTGGTGTGGTGCTGTGCCAGCAGCCTGTGCAGCTGGCGCTCAAGTCGGACAGTGAGGAGGCTGGAGAAGATGTGGTGTCAGAGGCAGGGATTCAGCCAGGGCCTTCAGAACCTCCAGAAGCTCCTTTAAGTGAAGAGGACGAAGAGGAGGAGCCTCTTCTTGATGCACGGGCGCACAGAGCTGCCAAAAGGCAGGAGTGGCTCCTCAGGAGGAGGTCTCCTCGAGAGTAAGGCTTGGGACTAATTGGCCACTCCCTTAGCCTATTTAAGAAGGAATGCCGCTTGCAACAAGCTGTAGAGAACAACTTTAGTTCACTCTCTTTCGTGTCTGCAAAATTGCTTCTGGGCTTTCTGTCAACTCTAGTAAGACTGTGATTACCTTATCTTAAAATTCCGATAGGCTGTTAAGACAGTTCATTAACAACCTTTGAATGATAAAGACTAAGTTATTTTGAGTAAATAAGCTTTGTAAAGAGTTTGTGTGTGCTGCGTTCTTTGTGGTCCGTAGCTGGGGCAGAACAAGGGGCCTTCATTTTCACACGATCTTGAGTATGATTCTAAGCCAGCAAGAGACTGTCCATTGTCTAAATTTTACACTCCTTTGCTGGTTTTACTTTCTGAAGCAATCCCTTACTCTCCCCTCCACACATACCTTGGTGATTACTTTGGGTAACTGGAAAGTAATTTGTGCTTAAGTTGTAATATCATTCACATATACAGGTAGTCCTCGACTCGCAAATGTTCATTTAGCGACCTTTCAAAGTTACAGCGGCACTGAAAAAAGGGATTTATGACCATTTTTCACACTTACGACCCCATGGTCATGTGATCAAAATTCAGGCGCTTGGCAATTGGCTCATCTGGATGACAGCAAAATCAATGGGGAAGCCAGATTCACTTAACAACCTTGATACTAACTTATCCACTGCACTGATTCACTGAACAACTGTGGCAAGAAAGGTCGTAAAATGGGACAAAACTCACTTAACTATTATCTTGCTTAGCAATGGAAATGTTGGGCTCGGTTGTGGTCATAAGTCAAGGACTATGTGTCATTTCTAATGAAGCAGATAGCTGTTTAATCATCATTGTCCTTATGCATCTGTATTACAGGTACGCTGCCTGGACTTCCACAAATTAAAAAAATATCAATGTCATATGAAGAGAGAAGGAAGCAAGCTACCGCCATCGTTCTGCTGGGAGTAATTGGAGCCGAGTTTGGAGCAGAAATTGAACCTCCGAAGTTGCTAATTAGACCACGCAGTTCTAGTCAAATTCCAGAAGGTTTCGGTGCAACAAGTGGCGGATCCAACTATTCCTTGGCAAGGCACACCTGTAAGTTATTTTCTTCTTTTCCTCCACTTTTAATGTAACTGTTGCACTAAAGGTTCATTAAATCATATATTTATAATATATGTAATATGGCCGAATTCAACTAAAAAGGAAAGCAATATAATACAATAATTCAGTGCAGTGCAGTCAGTGCAATGCAGTCAGTGCATTGCATTGCATTGCAGTGCAGTGCAGTGCATTGTATTTTATTGCAGTGCAATGCTATGCTATGCTATGCTATACTAATACTATACTATACTAATACTATATACTATATACTATATACTATATACTATACTAATACTATACTAATTCTAACTACTAATACTATACTACACTAATACTATACTATACTATATTCTAACTATACTAATATTAATACTACTGATACTATAGTATAGTTATACTAATATACTAATTATAACTATACAACTATACTAATGCTATTCTATATTTATACTATACCAATACTATACTAATTCTATCTATTAATACTACACTAATACTATACTATGCTATATTCTAACTACTAATACTATACTAATATTAATACTACTGATACTATAGTATAGTTATACTATACTAGTATAATAATTCAACTATACTAATACTATATTAATACTATATTAATACTGTACTATTACTTATGCTATGCCACACTATGCTACGCTACGCTAAGCTACTCTATGCTATGCTACGAATTCTCTTCTCATGCCAATGGGTGATATGTGTCTTCCTCAATCTGGGTCATGTGTCGGAGGCCTGGGAGTTTGAGGGTTCTGCACAGTATCTTAGCTGCAGCTACCACTGCACTCTTCTGGACAGAATGCTGTGATACCGTTTCTGGGATCTGTCAAAGCCTCTCCCAGCTTAGGGGTCACATCCATAAGTGCTCCTGCCATCACTGGTACCTTTTTGGCCTTTATTTTCCAAATACGGATAGTCCTTGACTTACAACCACAATTGGGACCAGAATTTCCATTGCTAAGGAAGGCATTCTTTAAGTGGGTCAGTCCCGATTTTATGACCTTTTTTGCCACAGTTGTTAAGCAAATCACTGCTGTTGATAAATGACTCACACGGCCATTAAGCGAATCCAGCTTCCCCCTCCCCCCCACTTTTGACTTTGCTTGTCAAAAACCCACTAGGAAAATCACAGATGGTGATGACATGGTCCCACGATACTACAGTAGTCATAAATACATGCTAGTTGCTAAGCACCTGAATTGTGATAATATGATCCTGGGGATGCTAGGATGGTCATAAGTGCAAGAACAGATCGCTTTTTTTCAATGCCATTGTATATATATGGAAAGCTTCGCGAGTTGACATCAGGATCTGACAAATCAAAAAAAGCATTCCAGAAATGTTTTTTACCTTTTAAAATATTCAATATGAATAAAATATTCAGATTTAGGTGATATCATCGATACAGCTTAATGGGACTGTTAAATGTCACAGATTATCTTTGTTACTGAAAGGCAAATATTACACCTATATTGGTCTTTAAGGAACTTTTGAGATTTTATGGCTGGAGAAGAAATGTTAGATTGAAGAGGGATCAATGTACAGAACAAATTTCAAACATGCCTGTTGCATACATTAAAACTGATTAACAAAAACATGTTACAATTTAAGAACAGTTTATGAAGTGACATTGTGAGGGTATAGATCAGTGATGGCCGAGTGTCGAAAAGGGAGCGTGCCCGTCTGGGCCACAACCCAGAAGAGGAGCTGCCTAGGGCACATGCAGGTGCCAAAAATGAACTTCCGGTTTCCGGCGCTCGCATGCCCGCCAGCCAGGTAGTCTTCCCGGTTTCTGGCACAGATGTGCTTGCGACAATCAGCTGCCCAGCGCGCATGCTCACGCAGGAAGATGGAAGACCAGCTCTTCCAGTTTCCAGAACTGCCACACGCAAAAAAGCCAGCTGATCATTGTGCATGCATGCTTGCCAGAAACCCGGAAGAGGAACAGGTGACGCATGTGCCAGGTTCTCCATCACAGGTATAGAGCAAAAAAAAAAAAAGTTCAAGCAAAAGAACAAATGCCTTTTTTTGAGGGCAGAAAGATTCATTAGTCTCTTGCTGATGTTTCATTGTTGTCATTGTTTGGGGGGGGGGAAGTGTTTACATATAACCAATTTAATTACTAACATTCTAGACATATTGCATTCATGTTTGATACCTGTCTATCATTCAGAGTGATATTTGGAATCATGAAAAACATATGAGAGAGAAAACCAGGAAACATTTTTTAAAACCAAAACTTCCCAGCTTTCACACCTGAATAATAAATCTCAAAATAATCTCATCAACATCTGTGACTTGAAATCATTGAAGCTCTATTTTCTTGGAACCATACTCCAGAGAATATTCAATAACCTCAATTCCAAATCTTTGCCTTCATTTGGACCATAATAGCAACAGAGAAACATGTACACCCCATCTCTGGCTTATACCAGCAGGCCCCCACATTCAGTAAAAGTGCAATTGAAGGCTCATGAGATTTCCATAATTGCACTATTATAAATCATTGAAATAGATTTGAGGCAAGAAGGTCAGAAACTTACAAGATTTAGTGAACTTCTGAGATTTTTGGCTATTTTAAAAATAATTATTGAAATACAACGGCTATGCTTCTTTATAACACCTTATTAAAAGAAAAAGTTGAGAGACTTAAACTCAGTCACTTTGATCCAATTTATACTTTTGCTTTTCAAAATTCTGTTCATAAGGGCAGATCTTTAATCAGAGTTATGCCACTAAATTTATTGAAATTTGGCACTTTTCATTATCATTATCATATTCTTACCATTAATTGCAGTTCTTCGAGATACAAAATATTGTCTGTCTATGATCAAGCTTTTGTATCCTTTCCCATGGGCTACTGCTCCCTTATATGGCAGAACATTGGTTTTCTCAAACACAGTGGAAGATGTGTTAGTCACAAATCTTTTTTGGACTGAAAATATTGGCTCTCCTATTTCTCCAGTGAATTCTGGATAATGTTCATATTAGATCATACTCATCCCATGGACAGGTTCCATGCATATTTAATTTCTCAATCTTATTGCAAAGGGTTACTAAAAATTGGGAAGCTAATAGATGCTTGCAATTAAATTTTACACTTACAGGTGATTAAAACACTAATCGGAGATTTATATCTAACTGAACAACAAATAGCCATTGTTTTTCACCATATTTTATTCCACATTTATCACATTTGATCATTCATGACCTATAACAATTGGCTTCATATTTGCCTGTTTGCTTGACCAGGTAGATATGTATGAGGGATTTTTTTACCTCATAAACCACTGGCATGTACTGTATATCTGAATCGTTCTGGATTCTGGAAGTCCGGATTTTTATGAACCACTAATATATTGTGTAGTGACCAAAGAAAATATTTATCAATTAAACATAGATTTGTTCACTTTTTTTAGTCAGTTCACAGAATTGTTTGCAAACTAATAGAGGTATGTTTTTTTAATTGACGATATCTTAATCACTTCAGCATGAATAGTTGATAATTAAACAAACAGCTCTCCCCCTTCTCTTCATTCAGCCTCTGAAGCCAGTGGGCTTCATTAACTAGTTACTGGTAACTCAGTTGGTGACTTGATGTATGAGTCCTGATAGAAACAACTGTTTTATATATACATATACATATACATATACATATACATATACATATACATATACATATACATATACATATACATATACATATACATACACACACACAATTTCTCTGTGCTTACTTGCTCACTAGGCTGGTGACTTGATGTATGAGTCCTGATAGAAACAACTGTTTTTATATACATAAATACATACATACATACATACATACATACATACATACATACATACACAGTTTCCCCCAAAATAAGACATCTCCTGATAATAAGCCCAATCGGGCTTTTGAGCGCCTGGCAATAAGGCCAAGCGCTTATTTCAGGGTTCAAAAAAATATAAGACAGGGTCTTATTTTCAGGGAAATATGGTAAATATATCCAGCAGTGAGAACTAAATTAATGACCAAGTGAAGTAAAAGATTCTGAAGTTGTTTGGGTGCTATATCATCATTATTTGGGTGCTATATCATCATTATTTAACAGACCCTGTTGGGGAGTTGAAATATTCTTCCATGTCACATCAGGAAGTTGACTAGGCTACAAATCCCCTTTACAGGACATGGAAACTGTCCTGGGTCTTCGGAGAGAGGCGGCATATAAATTGAATAAATAAATAAATAAACTTTTATGTGAGTTTTATAGGAAAACCTTTGGTTACATCTAAAATGTAAAGCCCAGAGGAAAAAATTAAACCCATATAATTAGACCAATAGTATGATCTAGAAAGCATCTGCAGAGTCTCAAGGAAAAAAATGTAGCCCACATCATCAATGCTTCTTATTTGGATCGGGAAGAACTGTCTCAGATTCAGTCCTACCAAGAACGAGTGGCTGTAAGTGCTTTACCCACCCAGATCTGGGGGTTTCCCCATTCAGGATAGTGTCATCAAATTCTTGATGCTTCTTCCTCCAGTTTGAAAACCAAATTCATCTTCTCCCAATCTAGCCTTCCTCTCTATATACGGTATTCATCACACAAGTTGAATAAGTATGGAGAGAGTATACAGCTTCTTGTCACTTGCAAAACTTGTCCCGATCTCTTTCACTATCCAAAAATTGGCTTTCTAGCTAGCATTACAGGTTTCACTTTTTCTTAAGGAGATTCCACAGCTTGACATGGATCAGCAGCACATCTGAAGTCCTTTCTATAATTGATCAAGCACATATTCACTTCTTTTTGGTAATTTTCTTAATTATCCATTGTGTATCAGCAATAGTATGTCTTGTTCCTCAGTCATTTCTAAAATTAGCTTGAACATTTGGCCTCTCCCTTGACATGCAGAGGTCTAATCTGCATTGGTGATCTTAAGAATTATTTTGACCAGCACATAAAATTAGGATATTGTGCAATAGTTTACACAGTCTG